GCGAATGACCACAGTCACCAATTCTTGTCATGTGTCTATGTATGTATGTCTGATCTTAGAATTGTGTGTACTAAAACAACTGAGTTTCCCTCTGGGATTAATAAAGTATTTTTGAATTTGAATTTGATATATATACATTTTATCAGCACATTGATTGTGAAAGACAACTGAACACTCACTATGTGCAATATAAATTAAATAAGTCAACAAATTTCTCAATATTTATTGAACTTCAAAAATAAAACAAACTCAAAACATTTAAGAAATGGGGTTATGGGGACCTTTCTTCAGTCTAGTAGTGGCAGGAGTTGGCCACACAGGTGCCTGTTTTAAAAAAGAAAAAAAAATTTAATCGGCTTTTAAAAATAATTTCGGCCGATATAGAAACAGTTGAACATATCGGCCCGATATATCGGTCGGTCTCTACCTGTTACACAATAACAATGCTTTATTCAGCATGTGTTCAATACTTGTACAATACCAGATTTGCATAGTGTCCCTTACAGTATGCTGCATAGTTCTGGAACCCAAATTTTTCATTTTTAATTCTTGGTTTTTAATGGTCGAAGGTTACAATACTAGCTTACTGCATATCTGTATATACATGTACTTTTGGTATCATTTTTCTTCACATTATTCTGTTAAGTGTTGGTGCTGCTGTAACAAGTGAATTTCCTCACTGTGGGATCAATAAAGTCTATTCTATTAATAATAATGAGTGTTTTCAGCATCATTCAAGCTTTGAAAGATAATCGTTTGAGGAGGAAAATGTTGTAAAAGTGTGTAAATACAATCAGCAGCTAATATATTCTGTTACACCTTATATAGGGGGCATGGTGTCTACCAGCTGCATTTTTAAATGAAAACAGTTCACCATTTCCTCTAAAATCTTAACTTATAACTGTAATATTTTGTTTTGTATTTTGTGTCTTCAACTATATTCCTGTTGCTATAAGAGCTGTGCAACAATTACATTTTTTATTGGTGGAAAAAAATTCTATTCTATTCTACTCTAATAATGTTTGCATGTCCTGCTCATTTGATATCAGGCTAATTTCATTATTTTCCATTGAAAACAATACAATTTACAAGTTCCCCACAGTACTGTACATATTAAAGACATTTAATGTGTTGTTCCTCAGCAGATCTCTAAGGGAACAGCAATTTAAGTCCAGATAAAAACTTTAAAAGACAACACGATTTTCAGGGATAGGGATCAAGTGTGTGTGTGTGTGTGTGTGTGTGTGTGTGTGTGTGTGTGTGTGTGTGTGTGTGTGTGTGTGTGTGTGTGTGTGTGTGTGTGTGTTGAGGCTGCAGATGAAAAAGTGAGGAATGAGGATGAAGAAAGTGTGATGGCTGCAAGCCAAACAGGGTGAAAACATGGCTCCAGTGGCTGCACCCTCCAGCCTGGAGCTTCCTGCGGATACACCACTACAACAGCGCTACATCAGTTCCGTTAACCTCAAAAAACAAAACAAACACACACACAAAAAACCACTTTCTGAGCAAAAGAACGCACTGATTAGTCCTGCGTTTGGCTGATGCGTCTCCTGAAAACAACCCACAGCTCCTCACCTTCCTCATCTCCCATGCGTTCGTCCTTCCAGGTGCAGCAAAGCAGCATCAACCTCATTCAGTCTCACCACACCGAGCTCCGGGGGAGAGCCAACCGCCTCTGGTGGACAGAAAACCCGCTGACAGAGCCTCAGTCGGTCGCTCCCTGTGGAAGGACCACGCTGCTCCTTCCTGCCCGCTGAAGACTGCACGTTTCTGAGGCGCTCCAGTCAACAGAGCCGTCGACCAATGACGAGTCTGATCCGGGGACAGGAAGAAACGGGCTAGCCAACCGCGAACACGCCCTAATTAATTCATTAATTCCCGTTTTATTTGACTTGAGGGAGGAGGGGAACAGGCAAACACCACCCTGTTCCTCAGAAAGTAATAAATAAACTTTCTAGCGGGAGAAGTCATTTACCTAGGGAGTTGTGAAATTAATGAAAACACCAAAGAAGATTAAAATTAGGCATTTGTTTGTTTTAAGATAACGGATACGCACAGTTTGAGTAAATAAGTTATTATAAGAGCACATTCAACCCACAAAAATGTAAAATTTCCTCATTTGAAGTGCAGTAATTTAGCATTTCCTGCTCATGTTATCTGCACCTAAATGCAACACAGGAAATGGGAGCCGGTTTGGTTGTCTGTCCTTAAAGGGACAGCGCACATATGTTGTTGTAGTTGGAGGCAATGGCGCCCCCAAGGGGTGGCCAGGGGTGGCCATGGCCAACCCTAGAAAATTGCTGCCCCCCCCCCCCCCCCCCCCCAGCAAAAGCCAGTGTTAATATATCATATTAATTCACTCAAACCAAAAATTTATCTTATTTATTCAAGACATAATTGTTTAACAAAATAAAAATAACACAATTATTGAGTTAAGAAATAATCAGAATTTAATAAATACATATGTTTCTGCTGCTCACCATTTTTTAAAAGTTTTTATCTCCATAGTTTTTTGTGAAAACAGCAACAGATGAATTAAACTAAAAAAATACATTTTAAATAAAATTTGAAATAACTTAAAGTTTTTTTTCTGAAATGTTTGCGTTTGTAAAATTTAAGTTAAATGTTTTGATTACATACTGTTTTTTTTTTAGTTTTGTTTTTAATTACCGGCTAAACTCTCCCAGTCGCCACAAGGACCAATTTGGTGTGCCACCCCAAAAATGTATTTGGCCCCGTCTGGCCACCCCTATCAAAATTTTCTGGAGGCGCCTCATTTTGGAGGTGTATGAACAATCATAAATATACATGTTGTGGATAGCTAGATTAATAGTTCATAACTTTTCCACAGAAACCCACTGCAAAAGATCTAAGCTGTGATTTTTTAAGACCAAGTTCACTAGTTTGTTCAACACATGCTCAGTGGTCTCCAGTACAAATTACGCCTTGTGAGTCGATCCATGTGGGTAAAACGCTATGGCGATCCTCTTTCAGGAAGTAGAAGTGAGTGGAGCAGAGGTGAGCAGAAGACAACAGGATTTGGTGTCTTATTTCCTGATGTTTGGACATCTCTCACTTGATTGGCTAACAGCAACACGGCTCTACAACTGACTCTGTTTACTCTGCAACGTTGATGTTTTATCTCCACAAATAACACAAGTTTGAAGGAGTTCTGCTCTGTGGTGGTGTTGCTAATGCTAACAGTTAGCTTCTAGTAGCCGAGACGTGCTCTACTCTCTCCTGAACACTAAACCAACAACAGTCAAGATAAGTTTTAAGTCAAGATAAGTGAGTCCATGAATGTTAAGTGATTATTGATATCACCGTGGATGATGTGATGACACCGCCCTAAAGCCAATCTTTAAAGAGCAAGTCACTCCAAATCAACATTTTTTTTGCTGATAAACTATAAATGAGTGTCTGATCGTGCTGCAGACACGTGTAGTCAATAATTCTGCACTTTAGTGCATTTAAGTTAAAATTTAAATATTCTGCCTAAAACCGTCAGTGTTGCACCGTCGTCAGGTAAAAACTCAGCACTGCATTTGAATTTAAATATGCCGTCGCTATTGGCTAAGAGGTACACTATGATGTTAGATGGTACATTATGATGTCACAATGTCATGAGTGTGTGTATTTGTTAGCGGCTCCACCCTCTCGATCTGCTAGGCAACAGCATTTGTTGCATTTTTCAAACAGGAAGTGGGAGTTGAATAAGAATCTGGTAGGGGGTGACTTGCTCTTTAAGGATTTAACATTAGTAGAAATGGTGAGGTCATTACAGCGTCACTGTAAATCACATTTCCACTGAGACGATGCAGTGGGACATTATGAGGCTAAAGCTCCAGCAGCTGTAACAACAGTGTAAGCTACTTTTGCAGGATGTGGATCTCGGGTCACTGGTTCTCCCAGGAGGACATCAAAGAACAGCCTGAATTCGTTATTTCCATCTGGGGCAAAGTTTTAGATTTTCACAGACTCAGTGTTGCACTTTTAAAGCAATAATGCATAATTAAAAAGAAACCCAAGAAGACTTGTTCTTTAAACACATTTTATTTTGTTATTTGTTGAAAATAAGATATTTGTTAGGATGTCAAGGAACAAGTCACATGTGTCGTGGAGATATAAAAAAAAAGTGCAAAACCACACTGTTCCTTCCTCTAAAAACAGTTTTAAATAAAGATGAAGAGCGTCCCACGCCACACATGACGAGTTCTGACCCGGCGAGGCTTCAAAGACAGTTCTTCTTACAGCACTGAGGGAAGAACTCAGAGCCGGCTAACATCTTATCAGCTGAAAACGTACAGTACACAGTTGCACAAAAAGATGCGGTCACTTGGCAACAGCGCTTAGAAACCTTTGGTCAGTAAAGCCTTTTATAAAAGCAACTCAAGTAAATAAACAAGAGGATTTTATATCCTCACATGGAAACACTTAAACAAAACAATATGAAGCTAATAACGCTGAATAAATGCACAAGGATACTTCCTGTTTATGTTCACACTGTCAGCAAACAATAAAGCTATGAGTCAAAGCATGTTGAGTAATTACAAGTTACATGAAAGAAAATGATGCAAAAACAGTTCCAGCAGACTGGAGGGGTCTGCTCATCTCAGTCGTCACATTCAGCCACTCATAAGGCACACCCCAGATTCCAAACAGTCCCCTCTTTACACCTTTCGACCGACTTCAGAATTATCCTCAACAACAAAGACTTTGGCCTCATGAAAAATGCTGAGGCGACTGAGCCGCGCAGCAAAATCCCAGAGAGCAGATGGGTTGGCCGGAGCCTTGCCGCTCCTCCTGATTTATTCCTAACACAACTAAAAATAGCATCTGATATCAGCCAGATTTCATCTTTCTTCTGGCCAACTCATTGTCAGAGAGGTGACCAGCTCTGTGCAGCCAGGTGACACAGATTACCATGTTTTGGGGATCAAACCCAAACTGAGGGCTTGAGACTGCAACTAAACACACACCCATACACAAACACACACTCACACAAACACATTTTAAATGGACTGATGGAAACAAAAGCTGATTAAGCACGATCATTAACATACGTCACATCAGAATGTGTACAAAACTCTGGGTCGGTGGGTTTGTATAAAAACAGTCAAGTAAAGTCAAACATCTTTACAGGTTATCTAATCTGGTTTTGTTTGCATATTAAATGTACATTCTAGATCATGCAGTAGCACCATGGTTTGTTGAGGTCACTGGATCTGCACAGATCCTCTACTTCCTCCTCCCACAGTATTTACCCTGGCATCCTGCAACGCCACCTACAGGAAACACAGACACAGAGACTCCTCAGGCTTTTAATCCTCATTTCAGTTAGAATTGTGACACCGGATCATGTCTCGTAGAAGACAAATTAAAGCTCAAGCTGACTTCAGAAATGTGTGGAGGACGTTTACTGACCTCTGTAGACTCCTCCTCCTCCCCCTGCTCCGAGGAAGCCCTGCAGAGGACCGTACTTCGCTGCTTTGGCTGCAAAAGGTTAAAAAAAGGATGGTTTGGTGAGCAGGCTAAAAATTGTTGTCCTCAAAAGTTACATCTCTGAGGTATGGAAGCCCATTCCTGCCACTCTGATTTAAAAAAATATACCTCATAACTAGTATCTCTAAAGTTGGTATCTAATTTTTATGATATACTAACTCATAATAATGAGATACTATCTCATAATTATAAGATAGTTAAAATAATGATATGTATTTTCCCTGGTGATAGAGGGCAGTACATACCTACCGCATTTTCCAGACTATAAGCCGCTACTTTTTCCCACGCTTTGAACCATGCGGCTTATAATGAGGTGCGGCTTTAGTCAACCAGAAAGGATGGATGCTGGAAAGTCTAATGAAGGAATGGTTAAAGGAGTGCTATGGAAGCCGCCCAGGAGGATTTATTTCACAGTAAAACGGCGCTGCTTGTTTTCCCAGCTTCACCCCGGGATGACGACAGCAACACGGACAGCGGCACTGACATCACCACAGAAAAGGTATGTGACGAAGCTCTTCTGAGGCTGTTCAACTCCGACACTGAAGAAGATGATGACTTCAATGGTTTCAGTGTGCAGGAGTACGATGAATAAACTAATCAATAACGTTTCTGTTTGGTTTGATACTGATCAGTTCAGTTACGTTCAGTTAAACTACATTTTCATTTCAGTAGATATCTGCGGCTTTTAGCCCGGTGCGGCTTATATTGAGGTGCGCTTTATAGTCCGGAAATTACGGTAAATCATTGCAAGCAAGCAGTATTTTTGGGATTGAGTAAGACCATACCAACGGATGGCCATTAGGGTCAAAAATGGTTCAGCCTCCAGCAAAATGACAGGCACATCAGACTCCCTTTCACCACTGACCACGAGAGGAGGTAAATGCGTAAAACAATGTTTATGAATGGCAAAGGTTTTCTAACCGCTTGTTACAAATCAGTAAATGCCTTTTGTCCTCACAGGCTCATGTAGAAAGAAACATGTCTAAGATGACATCGCCCAGAGACTTAGACCTGCACCCATGTATTTTATACCCATTTTTTATGATTATATGTTCCGAAGCCACCATTATTTTTTAACAACTGGTCATCATTTAATACAATTTTAACAGCATTTTGATGGATATTTCTAGAGATTAATGGTAGAAACTACACTTTGTGTCTTTAAGTCATAATTATCTCAATATTATGGGAAAGCAAAGTCATAATCATTAGATACATTAGATACATACATAGATAAATATATCTTTTTATTTAATCAGAGTGGCGGGAATGGGATTCCACACATGGATGTTTGCTGAGAGCTGTTCATAAAAACATCCATATAAATATTTCTGTATAAAAGTTTTTACTTTGTTAAAATTAAAACTTCATTTGTCTCTATGGCTCGTTAAAAAGCAAGAAACTTTTCACCAGTTCACCTAAATCAAGCAGAAATGTATATAACAATGTGTCACAGCTGTGAATATCATTCAGTATTTTATTCATTATCTGAATGAAGGTATCTGAAAAAGCTAAATGTTTCTAACCCTCCTCGGTGCCACACAGATGGTCAAATATTCAGCACACAGCCTGTTCTGACAAACTCATAATTTAGTCAAATAAATCCAAATAATCAGGCTTATCCCCCAGAGAAACCACCAGAACTTATAAAAAAAAGGTGTGAAAGTCACTGAGAAGATACATTTGCAGCAGTTTGGTTCTACTGGTACCTTGCTGAGGAGTGAGTGGGGCAGCCGCATATGGACCTAAACACATCAAAACAAACATTACATCAGTCACCATCCTCACATCCATGCTGAGGTGTCAGAGAGGTGGAGGCAGCTCTCCTGATCAGGAAGGGGAAAGAATAAAACTGATTTTCTTACAGGACACAAATGTAAAGATGATAGGAGCGTTCTACGGACGATAAACAGTAAAAATATTAAGACTTTTTTTCCAAAGCTGTTTGTGTAATCTGTGACTGACAACACAAGTTTAGTAAAAGTTTATTTTACCTGATATTTACATGAAAATAACTAAATATTTTGATTTTTGTAGAAGGATGCATACATCTCTGTAGGCCTAAAATATTTAGTGTCTCATATATTTGTCTTATTAAAGAAAAGCATTCAATCCCTTGGATTTGTTGGGTCGACTGGTTTCTGCTTTCTGCTTTTGAAAAAGCTGCCTATATTGAGTCAAGTTTTAAGATTATTTGCATGTCTGCATTTTAACAAACATCAGAGGGGTTTGTGGTCTTTGTCATTAAATTAAAACCATACCATACAACTTTTTCAGGTTTTGAAATCTTTTCCTTGAGGCAGTTTGCACTAAAATTACTCTTTGCAGCAGGGGTATTCAATTTGAGGCCCGGGGGAGCGGTATCCAGCACGTTTTAGTTTTAACTCTGTTTCAACACACCTGATTTCAATCAGCAGGTGATTAACAGGCTTCTGCAGAGCTGCTGCACCGGGGATTCAACCACTGAATCAAGTGTTATTGGAGCAGAAGAACCACTAAATCATGCTAGATACCAGCCCTCCAGGCCCAGAATTGACTACCCCTGCTTTACAGGGTTAATGAATTATCACTCAGACCCTCACTGACCTTTGTGGCCAGAATATCGCGCTTGCAACTTCAGAGTGGCAGGCTGACACTTGTTGGACTTGGAAAAATGGAGCTGACCTGCTGGCTCTGCAGTCTGTTTCCAGCATGTTTCTTACATGTTTTAGATCAAGAACATAGCTAATTTATTAGATTTAGTGATGAACTGCTCCTGTAGACACTAACAAATGCTGAGGAGACATTTTAGGTGTTAGATAAACGTGTTTAAAATGACAAATGCACGTCAAGGAGATACGTTTTGCTTTTGGTTCTACTAAACAGACACTAGGGGGTGTTAAAAGCAAGCCAAAGCTGCCAAGTGTGCATTCAATCAAAAACGTGATTAAGGAGAGATGAACAGATGTACAATAACAAACATTTAATATGTTAAGATGTTTATCTTTTCTTTTTTTGTATGATCTGACATTAGTCACACTTTTTATGGTCCATCTGCTTCACTGGTGTTGCAGACCTCACAAAATCTCTTTAAGGGCCACAGCTGGCCAGTCTTTGGAAACCCTTTGTCTAAAAGTAACAGAGTTTATAAAATGAGTCGTTTAATTAAAATGTAAAGGAACTTGGCTTAAACTGTTCAAAATCAAATGAATAAATCAAATATTTGGTGTCATATTCGCTAAAGACTGTCTGATTTTCAGGTTTGTTGTCAAACATAAGCTGTTCTGCTTTAGAGAGAACAGAATGTGTAACAGTTGAAGCTGTTTAGATAAAAGTAACCACTTTTAGAGAAGAAGGATTTAATCAAATCACCAATTTAATGAGCTATGAAACATATTTTCCTGTTGTTTATCCTCATTGATCATCCTCCCCCTTAGAGGTGGGCGTACCTGGATAAAACTGTTGGGGATATCCTCCTCCATAACCAGGAACCACACCTGTAAGGTGATAAGAAATGCTGTTACCAACATTTTTACTGATTCCAGACAATATGACAATAACAGGAAGAAATTAAATCGACTAGTTTTTGTAATTAAATAATACAAAATCTGCCGATTTGTAAAGTTTCACCATCATTTACCACTGTGATAAAAGTAAAAGGCCTGAAACAGGAAGAAGATTCTCACCTGGCTGATACACTCCCCCACCTCCAAGGTTACCATAACCTGTTCAAAGTAAAAGAATGAGCATGAATAATCTGTGGCCGAGACACAGTCTAACTGGATGTTTTGTGTTTCCATGGTTACTGTATGGACTGTTCTGTGGTCACTGGTTTAGCTGGAGCGACCTCGGCTGACTGCAGCCGTCTTTGGGTGAGGCTCTCTATCTAGAGTTATCTGCAGACCATCTTGCTGTGATGTTCTGAGCAAGATTACAAACATTTGTTCTCCCATGGGGGATTATGTGTTTATAGGCTACATTTACAAGCTTCTAATGGTGCTCTAAACTCAGCTCGGACCCCAGTGTGGGACATTTGTTATTACTGGTAATTAGTCTCTTACATCACTGTGGAGGAATTCTGTCCCACCCATCGTTACAGATTTGCTTTAATCCAGACACACTGGAGGATTTCCAGCTGTTTAAGGTCAAAGGTCAGACATTCTCCTTCAGGGTTTTTATGGAGAGAGGAGAACTCATCACTGCATCAATTACAGGAGGTGGTCCAGCCAGGTCCTGAAGCAGTAAAGCAGCCCCAGAACATCACACTTCCGTGTTTGACTGTTTGTGTGATTTTCTCAGATGTAACGGGACACACCTTCCAGAAAGCCCCACTTTTGTCTCATGAGTCTAAAACATGTTTATCCAAGAGTCCTTGAGAAACAGCAAAATGTTTTTTGTCTATGAAACAGGTCTTTGTTTCTATTTTTACTCTTGAACTGACCTTTATCTGAACTAAGAGAGGCCTTCAATTGTTATCTTGTTTTTGTTTTTGTTTTTTGTTTCCTAATTTCTTTAGAACAGGTGTGACTTTTTTATTTATTTTTTTAGATCGTTTAGCCCCCTTTAACAATGTCAGAAAGGTATTTTGATTTGATTTCCTAATGCCACAGGCCTGGCAGTGGCTAGTAAAAACCTAAATCAGTGTAGCATACAAAGAGTTAATAACTTAACACATCTAATTTAACAAACTGCTCTATAATCTGTTGTTTGCTGTAATGAAAGCTGTTGCATGACCTGGTTTGGGGGCTTTAGCTCCACCACCAGCTCCACCTGGTCCAACTGCACAAAGAAACAAAAACCCAGAAACCCAAACAATGAGACGACTAGTTCACTCAGCTTGAAAGAAATTCTGAATAAACAACAGTGTGAGAACTAGAGAATGAATAATGTCTCCGCTAAAGCACCAGTCCATTTTCTTCCCCAAAGCAGCTTCTCTGCTGGACCCAACACTTATCAGCATGATGGCTCATTTCCTGAGCAGGAAGTGAAATTTGATGGCATCTCCTGAACAACTGTCACCATGAGCACTGGGCTGAACTACTGGATTGTTATTTTTCTAACTTGGAGCTTTTATTCAGTTTTACTTTCATATAAACTCAGCTTTGAAACCTGATCTTATCCACAACATCCCACTGAGTTGGCGAGTCATCAGAAAAGTGAAAACATAAAACAGCACGATCACTGACCCTGATAACCTCCTGTTGCCAGTGGGAGTACTCCTCCACCTCCTGCTACTACACAAAAAAAACAGCAACACTTTACACAAATGTAAAGACATTTTAAAAGGTTTGTTTGACTACAAGTCTCTGTTTGGATCAAAGGGTGATACAAACGCACCTGGAGGCTTCAGAGATTTGGCTCCAGGCTGCGTTAAGACTCCAGGCCCAGGCCCGACACCATAAGGTCCTAAAACACACAAAAAACAGATATGATTCACTCAAATCTATAAACATTCGCAAGAAAATGAAACAAAAATTTTAGAATTGAATGTTCACAACTTGCCTGCAAACTGACCATTGACAGGATATCCACCTGGACCTGTGAAGGACAAGAGTTAGAAAACATTTAATTCTTCAGTTTATTCTTATTTATTCAGAGTCACCTCAATTAATTTAGAAAATAAAATTATAATGAGGCAGCATGGAATACAACACGGCCTTTAAATGCAAAACCCTTTGATAATTTACATGTAATTGAGTACAAATATTTAAATAAAGATTGTAGTTACTGCTGAGTTTGAAGAAAAATACATTATTCAGGTTTTTTCCTTTTTTCCACATAAATCACATTCAGCATTTTAAAATGAGAGGAAATGTGCCCTTTGGCAAAAAGAAGATGCAAAATAAAAACAGTATCCCACAGGTGCATAAAACTGATGACTGTTGAGTCTCTTTAAGGAGTAATCAGGTTGAGAAGGTCCTGATGCAGCTTTTTCTTTAACACAAACTGGTTTTATTGATTTAAGTTGGATCATTAAAGAGTCCACACTCAGTGGGCTGCTCGTCTAGACTGATGCAGTCTGCATGTTAAAGAGGAACCAAGCAAAGTGTAGTGGTCCAACAGGGATGCCCTGGTTCCACAGCGATGATGGGTGTGCATAGTGGAAAAAACAAAGAGGGAACAACACTGACAGAGATTACATTGATGCTCTAACCTGCACCTGTGTTTTACTACAAATGAACATTATCTGGAATAAAAATGTTCAGATGTGAAACAACTGATAAAACACCAACTTTTCTAAACGTTATACCTAGGCTCAGTACAATAAAACCAGCTTGCTGCAGACTAGAAACACAGGAGCAGTGATCAGAGCTTTACCTGGTAGAAACTGCTGGGGTTTAGGTGGTTTGACACCAACACCTAAAAACATCAGAAGAGTTGGTCACAGGTTTCAGCAGAAACTTCAACAGCAGCTCTGGTTTTAGTCTTTGTCTCCATGTGGTCAGAGATAGTTTCAATGGGAGAGCATTCAATGAGCTAAATGCGTTAATTTATTAAAATAACAGAAAAACACAGGAAAGACAAACTCACAAATGTAAAAATGAAGCTTTAGCAGTACAATTTGGTGTCTTTATGAAGCATAAATTTAGCATTGATCTAACATTTAAGATACTAAAGGGTTTTTATTGCCCCTACATTCCACCCAACAGCAGTCTTAATCTCAGTGTTTGTTTCAAAGCGTCGTTGTATTCTCCACTCAGAAGATGACTGATCACTTTGTTCATTTTAATTCCCCTTTCTCATTTGAAATAACATTATTTAATTCTTTCCTCACTGAATGCTCTTGAAAGAAACAAAAATTAAAGTACAAACATTGTATAAAAAAATGAAAAACTAACTTTTGTGGAATTTCCATGTGGATAAGGGTTAAAAAGTTCACACTTACCAGTGGGAACTTGTCCTGTAGTGCCATAAAAAACACAAATAAAGCATAGATGAGTTGTTTAGGATCATATCAGACTGTCAGTGCAACAGGACTCATTACACCTGATAACACACAACACCGTTTATTTAGTTTTATCTAGAAAGCTTTCTAACCACTAGAGGGCGCAGGCAGTCCAGCTCCACCTGCAACAGAAATGAACACTGATCACAACTACTGCTTCTTTTCACATAAACAGCAGTGTTTGCTGTTTAAAATCTATCATTTATGACAAATTTTTTGCATATTTACCAACACTCGTCCCAGCTGTGAGATAAAACACAAAACATGTAACACAAATATGCCACAAAAAAGACGAAACAAATTTAGATGTGTTTTTGGTGTGTTACTTACAACTAGGTTGCACAATCCCACCAGCAACTGTTGACAGATTTAAGAGAAAGTTAGATTACAACAGGAGGAGACAAGTTTAAGGACTGTAGAAAAATAACATGACGAGTTTTAAACTTACCACCTTGAGGCAGACACAACAATGAGGAAAAAAAAGAGCAGAAACGTAAAGTAAATCAAAAGCTCCTTAACTATTTTGTTCCATTTCTATTAAATATATGAAAATACATGTAATGACTTCCACAAATCTAACAACGAATGAACATATTACGGTCTTATTACAGTTTTCTTGGTAAAACAAAATAAAGATTTAAAGGCGGGATGTGAGAAAAGGAAAAGAAAGGCGTCAAATGGCATAATAGTGAGAAGGAGCAGAGACCAGACAAGTCCTTCAGTTCTGCATTACTTCATAAAGCTCAACAGTAGAGAAATGCCTGGTTCGGATAAACATTCCTGTATATGAGAGAGGGAATCCTGCAGATGCCAAAAACTGTCAAATCTACTTTTCATTTAGTGCAATGCTGGAAGAAGTAGCTGAGGAGCACTGTTCTGTACAGTAACCCAACCAGAGGATGAATGCATCCCTACAGCAAGGTTTTATACGTTTTCTCCAACTTCTGTTATGATACGTACCCTGCTGCAAACACATAATAAAAACAGGTTCAGCTACAAATGCTAATGATGCATGCTTAGATGAAGCACTAAAGCGTTAGGTTTGTGCAAAAATAACGACATTCACAATCAGTGAAACAATACCGTAAAAGTTCACTGTGTGGTCAAAAGCGTGATGCAAGCAGTGAGTCTTACTGGGCTGTGGGAGCTCGGGGCCCTTGCTAAGTGCAGAATTAGTGGGCCCTGCCAAAAAGACAACAGGTTCCAGTTTCAGCCAGTTTAACGTGAAAAAGGCCAGAAGAGGCAGAAGCTGTGAAGCAAGATATCGCTTCTGTCACAGCGCTGGAGCTAAAAAGTAGCTGCTTGCATAGCATCACTGTGTGTGAGATTAAGCAGCTTTGTGGAAGTGTGTGTAGTGCACAGGAGTTGTGTTTGATGATACCTGGCTGAGGAGTTCCAGCCAGACCCACATCTTTTTCTGTAACGTTAATACATGATCATTTTAATGCATGCATTTTAAACTTCATGAGTCAAAAAAATAGGAAGCTGTGTTGGTAGTCTCACCTGGTTTTACAGGAAGGCCACCAGGTACAAGAGAACCATTAACACCAGTGACACCAGTACCTGGAGTCTCACTGATCTGTCCACCACTGATGCCTCCTGCAGGAAATACACATACAATCTGCAAAAACTGTACTATTTCTATGTTTTATGCGTTTTTAGTTTGCAAGCTTTAAACATTTTTATATAAACTATGACAAAGTGATCGCATTATTTCTGGTAGACCCGACCTTGTTTTGGTGGTTTTACACCTCCTGTATAACATGCATTAAACACAAAAATCTGTTTCTCCTTCACTGCACATTTTACAACATTAATTTCATTTCAACAGGTAGCATTTTGTTTCTTATATGTGCACATTCAGTACCTGCAGCTCCATAAGCTCCTCCTGTTCCGACTCCTGCAACACCTAATCGAATCAGAACATGCAAGTTCAACAAACTGAACACGGTCTCTGTCCTCATAACTCTTCTTAAAAATGTAATAGCAAACAAACAATTAATGCATAAATAAATAAAATGCACTTTTAAATGTTGTGTGTTTGCATCCTCTCACCATATTTAGCAGCTTTTGCAGCTGCAGAGTATTGTCCACCTCCTGGTGCCACTCCTGTTCCGGCACCTCCTGCAACTCCTTTTTCAGAAAGAACAAAAACGGGTTGCATTAACAATTTAAATATAATCCATGTTGACAGATAAAGTGAGAGCACATCTTTCAGAAGTAGGTGTTTTCAGGGAGACGTGGCTGAATGTGTCTACTGTGTGATCTAAGCCCACCATATTTAGCAGCTTTTGCAGCTGCAGAGTATTGTCCACCTCCTGGTAGTCCTCCTGCTCCTCCTGGTCCCACTCCTGTTCCTGCACCTCCTGCAACTCCTTATACAAATTAAAATAGTTCATTTATAGACAATGCAGTAAACAACTTGATATGTAGAAATAACCTGATAATGTGTGTGTGCTGATTGAAGCTACCATATTTAGCAGCTTTTGCAGCAGGAGAGTATTGCCCCCCTCCTGGAACAAAATGCACTCCTCCTGCTCCTCCTCCCAGTGTGCCGTATCCCAGCCCTGTTCCAGCTCCTCCTGGAACTCCTGTTTGTGGAAAAAAACATTTTGTTGTAGTTTTGAAATTTCTTTTAGTTAAACAAAGCACAGTAAATTTGGAAAACAGCAAGTCTGTAAGTGATAACTAATTTGTGTTTAACCTGATACTTTATTTTGAAACGGTTTTCTGCTACTTCCTTTAGTTAGGGGGCAAACCCCCCAAATAAATCAAACCAACATGATTACCATATTTTGGAGGTTTGACTCCAGCACCACCTCCATAACCTGTAAAGAAGTTAGATCATTTGACTGAACATTAATGCACAAAACTCAATTTTTGTTTAAATGTGTATAAACCTCAAAAACTTACCGCCATAACCACCTGGTAGTACCTGTCCTGCTCCTCCTGGAAAGACTCCTCCTCCTCCGAGGCCTGTTTGTGGGACTAATTGATTAATTATTAGTTGAATACATTGTGAGAAGTTTGGCTACTTCCTTGAGGTAAAAGTCAAACTCTCACCATATTGAGGAGGTTGGGCACCAGCTGCTAAAGCTGCAGCAGAAAAAGAACAAAAGCAGGTCATGAAAGGCATGATCTGAGAATTAGACAAGCAAATTAAACATTTCCTTCTTGGCTTGTGAGCTAAAGGTATCTGTTGTGCTTGCTTACATCCATATCCAGGAAGATATGGTGTTCCTGGAATGGTTCCTCCACCTCCTGGAGCCACACCTAAAAAATGGAACAACTTTAATTTAAAAAATTCTCCCCATTATTGTGTGTACTGATGTAGTTTCAGATACCATATTTAGCAGCCTTAGCTGCTGCTGCTGCTGCAGGGTATCCTCCAGCTCCAAGACCTCCTGTTCCTCCTCCTGCTCCTCCCAGTCCACCTACACCTGCAAAAGACCATTTTGTTTGGCTTGATATAGACTTTTGACTAAAAACTGATTTTGCTCCCATTGAAAATCGACTGTTTGGACCAGAAGCAACTCCTGCAGACTTGAGACATTCTTTGCGTGCGTCTCATGTGCAGTATGAAATGTGGTCCTGCACTTTAAGTTGATTTCTAAAGCTATGTGCACTGAAAACACTTTGCAAAAGCTACAAAACAAAGCACATCACTGTATTATATTACAAGCCTTTAAACTCTTTTCCCCAAGTCTTAGTAGTGCTCATGACCCTGTGCGACCCACAGGAATGGAGTATCAAGTTAAACGATCTTATCAAAATAAACGTATTACCATACTTAGCAGCTTTGGCAGCAGCAGGGTACCCCCCTGCACCTCCTTGTCCTCCTGGTAATCCGAGTCCACCTCCTGCTGATCCAGGTCCTACCATCCCTGTGAAAAACCCATTTGTCTCATAACTCTTCTGAAGGGCAGCTCAGTGCAGTGGTGTAGTGATATTTGTTTGGTGGAACACATTAATATCCTTTAAGGTCAATAATAATAATAAAACCTTTTGCAAACTATTGCACAATACACTCACATTATTTTCCTATTTAACATAAGGCACTACTAACAGGTGTTAGTGACGCTAACGTATCGCTTTTACAGCAGAGATTTTACAGAGTTTACAGTGAAGTCATGGCAGGATAACAACATTGGGTCACTTCCATGACACCAACCCACAAGGACCCACTTTAACAAAAATGGGCGTACACTTATCTCATTAAATTTGTTGGGGTCTCCAGCATGAATGAATGGGGAGGGGTGGAAAACGGCAGGATTTGAGTCATACTCATTAATATTAATGATATGTAAATGTCTTGTCTCTGATTGGCTAACAGCAACACAACTTTTCTACTGCCTCCTTTTTCTCTGAACGGAGACGTTCAGTACACGAATCGCGGTCGGTGTGAATGGCAGTCGTGTGACACCGGAACGCATCCGTTCCACATTTGCGTGAAGGAACCTTTAGTGCGTCATATCTAAAACAGCTTGGGCAGAAACAGCCTTTATGTACCCTTTGTTCTCAGTTTTTGATATGACAATATAATCTCTCCACTCTGGTAGATCATCACCTCATTCTAATCCTTCAAAAACCTTTAAAATTCACTTTTAGATGTTTCACAGCTTTCGGCTGTTTTTATTTAATTTCTCTCAGCAAGTGAAAGGTCTCTGGGGACTCTTTTTGTTGATGTTCTAAACCCACAACAGTAATGCTTCAAGTTCCAAGTGAAGGAGGCAATTTTTACTCTTTAAAACTAAACTAATCCCTAAAAGTGAGAAAAGTGAGTTTAGTTTCTTCCCTAAGAATGAAAGAACACTTCGGTGAGCCCAGAAATACAAATCGTTGAATGCTTAAAGAACACAGGAGCTGTAGATGATAGCAAAAATATTTTTCATGATTAAAAAAAAATCCTCCACATTATTCAGCCAAGTAAAAAAGACCCTAACGGAGGTAGACATAACATCATCAAAGTCTGTTGAAAAGAGAGAGAAAACACAGATGTTTCCCCATGAAGTGCAAACTATTAATAAATAAACTGAAAGGCCAGTTTGGACATGGCCAAAAATAACATCCTAAAATCCATAAACAGTCCTGAAGCAGCATTCTTCAGAGGTGAAACTAAAATGAATCTGCACCAGATAAATGAGAAAAACGTAGCATGTACAGGACTTAGCACCAGAATTTTGTGTAACATCATTTCTGAGAGGTGGAGGCAGCAACAAGTCATGACTGCAACAATGCTAAACTAAATCATGTAGGAAAACAATAATGTGTGTACCAACTGCAAGTGATCCGTGTGAAGTTACAGAATGAGATTACCACCTGAGGGGTTCATCCCAACACTGAATACACCTGTTCTAACCCGTCCACCCTACGTAATGTTCCACTGACTCTAATGAATCTGTAATACTTAGTGCAAATATGTGCTGTTTGTAATGATTTGATAAGATAATACATAGTTGTTTCCTAATGTGATGAGAGTATTCAACCTACCATATTTAGCAGCTTTGGCTGCCTGGGAATATCCACCTGGTAACTGCGCACCTGCTCCTGGTACTCCTAACGGAGCACCACCTGGGAGAACTTCTGGGAATCTTCCTGGTACTCCACCTGGTACTCCTCCTGGTACTCCTCCTGGGACTCCTGTCCAGAAGAAAATGGAGACAATTTGTTAATCTTGATACAGCAAATTGTTATTTTCTACAGGTAGTAAAGATTAGAACATTGTTAGAAATAAAATAACTTGTACCAGTAACTACATTTGAAAACTCTGCTCACCGTATTTAGCAGCTTTGGACCCAGCTCCATATCCTGAATGTAAAACATTTGAAGATAGAAAATCATGTCACAAGTTAAAATAACTAAAATGTATTAAAAAAATAGCCATGTAATAAAAAGGTTACGTTATTTATACCCGTAGGTGAATTTTTGTATTTTACTAAGGCATCCAGGTAAAGAACATTATTAGAAGTTATTTGAATTTGGTGTGATGTGTGGGATTTAAACAACTGATCTAATTCCTGTTTTTAAAGACAAAGTTCACTTGTTTTTTTCAAAAAATTTGCAGCAGTCTCTAGTATAAATTAATGCCTCGTGAATTGATCTCTGTGAGAAAAAAAGCTCTAGCGCCCCTGTCTCATTAAGTAAAAGGTAGCCAGAGGATGCAGAGTCTTATTTCCTGAAATTCTGACATCTCACCTCTGATTTACCAACTTCAATGCAACTCTACAACTGAATCATTTTGCTCTGCAATGCTGATGTTTTATCTCCACAAATAACCCAAGCCTCAGGGAGTTCTGCCATGTTGTGGAGTTGCTAATGCTAACAGTTAGCTTCTACTACCTGAGATTTGCTCTGATCTCCTGGACTCTAAATCAACACCAGCCTTCCCCGTCTTGAGTCAGGATGGGTGGGTCCGAGAATGAGAGAATGTTTTCTATCAGTGGCTAATGAAGGAAATAGGTGTAGAAGACTATTTTCACTTTTAGCCTACATGTGAAACTCAGAATGAGTGATCATATTTTAAAAAAATAGCAAGATCCAGTTTCTCTGTAAACTCTTGGTCTCTAATTAGAACAGATTTATTTGAGTTATGGCTCTTTATCCATAAATATGAACAGAAATAATTTATTTAGGACTTTTATTTTTCTTATATCTCATTAAAATTATAATACCTCCTGGTAACTGCCCTGGATACAGTCCACCAGTGCCTCCAACACCTCCCATGCCTCCTACACCTCCAACACCTCCTATACCACCAATGCCTCCAACTCCACCAACGCCACCAACACCTCCTACACCACCTAAACCTAAAGTAGCAAACAAAGTTTAGGTCAATTGTTAGAAGTATGACACCACCAAATATGTTGTTTTAAATAAAACATATTTTCTAGTTATTCAGTTTGATATTCTACCGTATTTGGCAGCTTTAGCCTGAGCAGGTGAGATGCCTCCAGGCCCTACACCTGCAGAAAAAAAAGAAGATACAAATATAGTTGGCAGTGACTTCCATTTGTTGAATACTTTTTCTAACATCATTAATGGATAACATAAACATACCAGTTCCTACAGGAAACCCAGGTTTGGAGCCAGGGCCTCCCACTCCTCCTGGAAGTCCAAGTCCACCATGACCGAAACCTCCATAACCTGAAGCGTACATTATTATGAACACATCTTTAATCAGCAGTTTCTACTTATAATAAATCTTATGTAAATATCTAGAAAATAGAATGTGTGTACCATAGGGAAGTTTACCACCTCCAGGTTTTGCACCATAGCCTCCTAGATTTAAAAAATATTTACATGAGAAAACGATTGGGTTTTTACTGAAGTATATTTGGTAAAACACGCACAAAAAAGTTTTTGTTTTGACTCCAAATAAAAAATATGTAAGCAAACATTTTCACAACTGTGATCAAAGACTAAAGAGTCCAATGAGCCCCACAGACAAAATGTATTCAAACATCGTCTACTGATTAAAGTTCAGGGATCAGCTTAGAGAAGGATTATAATATTAGATAGAGAAATACTATGAACCATGTAATGTATGTAACCTCAGATTAATGCTAGGGTTGATCACTGTGGATAGTTTCCTTTGAAATAACCATGAGTAAGGTCTATAAAAGTTATTCTGCTGCATCTGAGTAACAGTTACTGTAAATATTCACCTTGCACCTTGGGCGATTTGAGGGGGTAACCATGGAACACTCCTGGCTGCATCGGACCACCAAACCCATGGTTTCCTATCACAGAGATAAGTTTTATTCTTCATTGGCTAACACCATCAACATTATCAAAACATGCCAATGCTTGTTAGGGAAATGATGAAAACGTGGACAATGTTAACCTGGGCCTTGATTTCCTTGTTGTACTGCAACTGTGTTAAAAAAAAGAAATGTTCTTTGGTCAAACATTAGTGAAAAAAGGCATGAAAATTAGCAGAAATATACAGAAAACTTCTATTTTGTGCCATCATGACTCTCTGATATTACTATTTGGTAAAAGTGATGATCAACATTCTTTCATTTATAAATCATCTCCATCACCACATTCACAGTTAAGTTTCTTTAATATTTACTGCTTTTATATTTTTCCCCACTTCTGTCGATATTGTACAAATGAGAAAAGAAATAGCTTAACCTTACTTGATTTGGGATTTATGTCTGTTCCAGTGGCGACCCCAGGCAAAACTCCACGGCCTCCAAACCCTGTAGAGGTCACAATAAAAGGAAAGCTATTATCCATCATGAAAACACAAAACTGGTGTCTAAACATCAGAAGCACACAGGGATAGTCAACAAGTCGTGAAATTGATCACGGACCTTGACCTGGCACAAGACCACCTTGGTAAAGTCCAGGGACGCCCACACCTGCCACAGCCAACAAGAAGATCTGCTCAGTAATTACGCCATTAAACGGATTTCTTCATAACTGCTGAATTAATTGAATATTCATGTCTGACACCATGAATGAAATGTTCCTTTGAAGAAGGAAAATATGAACATTTTACATATTTTTTTGTTTTCGAGTAGAATTTATGCAGGAAAAGTCCACACAGCTACTTCTTGTAATTTTTATTCCTTTATATCCAACATTTTGGAAAATGTTTTTCCTCTTAAAGCAGAAATCCAGAGTTTTCTCTGAGGGCACCATCTAGAAGCAGAAAAAGGATTCCACAACTTAAGCCCTTCTCCCTACTTCCATGTCTACACCTGTAAGCAATGCTTCTCATTGTAGGAAATGCATCGATTTATTTATTTTTTGCTAAGCCTCCCTTGTCCTGCAGAGTCCCTCCATTCAGCATTAACAATTGCGTTAGACGTACGCTTACACACAAATGTCAATCACAGATCATGCACGAGTGTTTGCAAAAGGTGATTTATATATACAGTTAGGTCCATAAATATTGGGACATTGACATAATGCTAACTTTTTTGGCTCTATACGCCGCCACAATGGATATTAAATGAAATGAACAAGATGTGGTTTAACTGCAGACTGTCAGCTTTTATTTGAGGTATTTACATCCAAATCAGGTGAACGGTGTAGGAATTACAACAGTTTGCATATGTGCCTCCCACTTGTTAAGGGACCAAAAGTAATGGGACAATTGGCTTCTCAGCTGTTCCATGGCCAGGTGTGTGTTATTCCCTCATTATCCCAATTACAATGAGCAGATAAAAGGTCCAGAGTTCATTTCAAGTGTGCTATTTGCATTTGGAATCTGTTGCTGTCAACTGTCAAGATGAGATCCAAAGAGCTGTCACTATCAGTGAAGCAAGCCATCATTAGGCTGAAAAAACAAAAGAAACCTATCAGAGAGATAGCAAAAACATTAGGCGTGGCCAAAACAACAGTTTGGAACATGCTCAAATGAAGGAACGCACCGGTGAGCTCAGCAACACCAAAAGACCCGGAAGACCACGGAAAACAACCATGGTGAATGACCGAAGAATCCTTTCCCTGGTGAAGAAAGCACCCTCACAACAGTTGGCCAGATCAAGAACACTCCAGGAGGTGGGTGTATCTGTGTCAAAGTCGACAATCAAGAGAAGACTCCACCAGTGTGAATACAGAGGGTTCATCACAAGATGTAAACCATTGGTGAGCCCCAAAAACAGGAAGGCCAGATTAGTTTGCCAAACAACATCTTAAAAAAGCCTTCAGTTCTGGAACAGCATCCTATGGGCAGATGAGACCAAGATCAACTTGTACCAGAGTGATGGGAAGAGAAGAGTACGGAGACGGAAAGGAACTGCTCATGATCCTGAGCATACCACCTCATCAGTGAAGCATGGTGTTGGAAGTGTCATCGTGTGGGCATGTATGGCTGCCAGTGGAACTGGTTCTCTTGTATTTATTGATAATGTGACTGCTGACAAAAGCAGCACGATGAATTCTGAAGTGTTTCGGGCAACATTATCTGCTCATATTCAGCCAAATGACTCAGAACTCATTGGATGGCGCTTCACAGTGCAGATGGACAATGACCCAAAGCATACTGCAAAAGCAACCAAAGAGTTTTTGAAGGGAAAGAAGTGGACTGTTTTGCAATGGCCAAGTCAATCACCTGACCTGAATCCAATTTGGCAAGCATTTCACTTGCTGAAGACAAAACTGAAGGGAAAACACCCCAGGAACAATCAGGAACTGAAGACTGTTACAGTAGAGGCCTGGCAGAGCATCATCAGGGATAATCCAATGTCTGGTAATGTCTATGTTCCAGACTTCAGGCTGTAATTGACTGCAAAGGATTTGCAACCAAGAATTGAAATGTATAAGGGTGATCCATGGTTCTTATTCTGTCCCATTACTTTTGGTCCCTTAGCAAGTGGGAGGCACATATGCAAACTGCTGTAATTCCGATACACCGTTCACCTGATTTGGATGTAAATATCCTCAAATAAAAGCTGACAGTCTGCAGTTAAATCACATCTTGTTCATTTCATTTGATATCCATTGTGGTGGCGTATAGAGCCAAAAATGTTGGCATTGTGTCGGTGTCCCAATCATAGGCGTCATTTTAACCGGGGACGCCGGGAAAATTCGTGATCGGCAGCTGTGTCCCCCCCCCCCCACTTTCAAAAAAGCCTGCTGATGAGGATTTTTGTTTTACCTGCTCAGATCTTATACCAGGGGTCGGTAACCTGTTCCCATCAAAGAGCCATTATTACCCATTTCCCACAGTAAAGAAAACACCGCAGCAGCCGCAGCGTTGCGGGCGGGGCCTACCCTCAGACAGCAGAGCGCTGCTCACAACAGGTGACAGCAGCCGGGGGCATCGCACCTGTGGGGGATTCAACACCCACACTTTTCCAGCTGTTTTGCTCACCTCCACACCAGTCTGGTTTCTTTACGTCGCACTCACTCTGTTTGCCTCATCTCCTTCTTCACCTCCGCTTCTGACAGCCGATGTCGGGTTTCCAGGAGAGCAGGAGAGGGAGGGACGGAAGAGCTCGACTGAATTCATAATTTTACATCTTGAATTTAGCTGTACAAAGTCTGAGTTTGATAAAGTGAAGAACAACAATTTGCAGAGGTTTATAACTGGCGCGGCGCCAGGTTTTCATTTTTGGGTGGGCCACGGTAATTTTGGACGGACCTTAATAAGCAGTGACTTAAGTGAAGCAGGCAGGGCGCGCTAGAAAATTTAGTTTAAAAAGACGTCATAAATGTTTTCCCCCGTCATTTTTATTTCTAAAATATGAAGTAAAACTCCCAATTTAATGTTCATTCATTTGTCATTAATATGTAGTCTACACCCGTGCGTTAAGTGGACCATCTTCCAGTAAACGCAAAGCATCCAGTCCACCTCTCCAAATGCGTAAAATGTGCATCAGCCGCTAGGCGTGCCGCGCGCACCGTCAGCTGATCAGCCCAGACAAAAGCAGAGCAACTAGAGAAAGAATAGAGGATAATTGTGTCTGGATGTGGATGGAGATTACATTTTACATCAGCCTGATCATCATTTAAATACGTAAACCATCACCTGTCTTCTATCCACGCTATCAGCATTATTTTAATTGGTGTGTGTGTGTGTGTGTGTGTGTGTGTGTGTGTGTGTGTGTGTGTGTGTGTGTGTTTTCCACATCAAACACTGGTCTAACCAACCAGACCAGCGTGTCCAGTAACACATTAATGTTACAATTAAACTTGATTAACCCCAGAGCCACGCGCACTGCACTGTACTGACTGTAAATGAGGGGGAAACTATTTAATCGGATCCTTTACTTTTCAACATGGTTTTACGTAAAGTTTCATTCAGTACAAACTTTAGTTACACCAATCTAACGAGACAGAGCCTAGATTTGTATTCTGAACAGTTTAAACATGTTTGAAACGGAGACATGCGTGACGCGTCTAAAATTCGCATCTGCTCCGCTATTACGGAAATTAAACTAACAAGATGAATAACATGAAATTATTTTAGGCACAGACAACATCCCCCACACTTTTGAAAAGCTTGCAACGCGCCTGATCGCTCATGTACGTCTTAATTATCTTTCATTAGACGATAATCAATAAAACAATTTATATAAAATGGATCCAGAAGTTGTAGCCCGTCTCTGCCTTCAATTTTTGGTATTTTTCACCCTGTTGATGGTTTTACTGAGCAGGTACCACTTTTGTCCTATGTTTCTTTTTAAAACATGTTTAGACTGTTCAGAATACAAATCCAGGCTCTGTCACGTTTGATTGTTGTAATTAAACTTTGTAGGTGGGGAAGGTCAGAAAGCAGCTCAGAAGCGCCGATATGATTACGCACAAGCGTGACGCATCAACCCGGTCTCACAGTAAGACCGGGTTGGAACTGTTCAGGTTTACGCAGACAATCTTTACATTTAGAATTAGCTTACAGATGTAAAATTAATGCAGTAAAATATAAAGCTTTTTATTTAAATATCCATTCATTATTTCACAAGCACAGAGAGCCGCATCAGATGGATGGAAGAGCCGCATGTGGCTCCAGAGCCGCCGACCCCTGTGCTAGCCTACTTTATTGTCCCCAGCAATTTTTAAACCCCACTCAAGTGTATGGTTATTGTCCCCAGCAATTCTGAAAACAAACTGACGCCCTTGGTCCCAATATTTATGAACCATATATGAATTATGGAATATATATATATATAAAGACTTACTTGTTCATAGGAATTGTTGCCAACTCTGCATCTGCATCAACATCAGCAAATGCATGTGCATGCTCTGTAACTGACATCTGTACTTAAGCAGATGTCTAACGCTATTGGCTAATGCTGAATGAAGATAGATTTAAATTGCATGGGACTCTACAGGACAACGGGGGCTATGCCCCCAAAAACATGTATGTATGTCTTTTTTTTTTACATGATATCACAGTACATGGGAAGACTGGCCAGTTACAAAACTGTTTGGGCCAATGGTAGACCTGCAGGGGCTACAGTGGAGCGTGGCTAACCCGACCTGCAGAGACGGATCTTTTATTTCTTCTAAGGCTAGTCCACATTCCTAGGCTGACATAATTCATGAAAGAGGGAAAACTCCAGAATGCTAATTAGATTTTTCTTTTTTTGGTCATCTGTCTATAAACACTGTATGAGAAAAGTTAATTTTATTCTGGTGATCACAATAACCCAAAAGTATGGCCATAAAAACCTGTAGGTGTCACTAAAGCTGCTGAATCTAGATTTAAAACCATGACAACCTAAAGTGTTCCCTTATTTCATCCCTCTCAATTTCAGGTTTGTTTACAAACTCTGAACGGATAAAATTAAAATCCTCAAGACACAACCTTTTAATTATTCATTAAAGGTTTATTCTGCGGCGTGTGAGAATTGTTTTCTAAACATTTTCCTGGCCGATGAAACATCTTTCACATGTAAACTTGTCATTAATGTGCCTCAGCTGCCTGCAACTCTGCGTTGTGTCTCCCTCCAGCCTCCTGAGTTTACTGTTGAGTCTACAAAACCTGGCACTTTGGATGCTTTCTTTCCTGCACCACCACCGGCCCCTCCTGGAAGGCCCGTCTGAGGAATAACAGGTGCTGGAAATAAAAAGAAAAACATATAAAAAGTTACTTGGCTCAACAGCACAAGCATGACAAATGCCCTGGGTAAAATATGTCTATCTTATGAAAAAGTGCTGAGATGAAAACAGTTATGATTGTGATTTATGCTTTCCGAGGTTGTCCACACTGTAAACATCTGTCTTGTTGTTTTGAAGCTTATTAAATTATGACGATGACTTTGTTTTGAGCCCAAACTGGCTTTTTGTCAGACAAGTAGATTCTTATAACTGTGCCTGATTTGGGCTGTAAAAGTTATTTCATTTTAAAAAGAAATATGGAGCGAAGTTCCTTGCCTCCACCAGGTCCAGTTCCAGCTCCTCCGGGTCCAGTTCCTGCTCCAGGTACTAGTCATATAATACACAATATCAATAAAAATACAGATTAAATTCACAGTTAGTGGCAAATGGACTGATTGAGTGTAAATATGCAGAAGGAGGTTCCTGTCTCCACCAGTAGAGGGATCTGCGATGCTGAACTGCCAGATCCACTAACTGGTCCCTGATATTGAGAGCAGCTGATCTGGCCCTACCGGTCTGTCATCACCCTGAGACACAAAGCTCCACATCTGATGTTTCCTCTAATCAGACGAGGCAGGCAGCATGCGTGGCATTTACCTCATCTCTTTGGCTATCTTCTTACACAGGAAATAAGCTGTCAGGTTCACTAGAGGGAGCTTGGCAGCAGAATAAAACACGTTTGTTTACAAGTTTGAACATTCTTATTATTTTAGTCCTGAATTCCCAATACTTTACTAGACAGACGTTGCGCACTGCCTGTAAGTATGTGGTCCTGGAAGGTTTGGTGAGGAAAACCCTGGCAAGAGAATGTCTTGTTTTATCTGCACTCTTTCAGAGGAACGGGTTGTTATTTTAAGTGTCATGAAAGAAACACAGACTGATTCCAAGGACTGACGTTTTGTCACTGCCAACCAAGAGCAGGCTCTGTGCCACAATTCAGTCCTGGACTTGATTGAGGCCTACTGAGTTTTGGGTTTAATCAGGCGGCTTAATTTAAAGCAAATGATGAGCTTGTTTGACCCAGAATTTAGGATCAGATTGTGCTCTTCTCATGTAAAATCCTTCTGAGGTCAAAGTTAGGATAAAAATGTGCACGTCTGCCAAACTCTGTTATCAAAGTGAGCTACCAATAATGCAAAACATTCACGTCTGGCTTTCTCTTAACACGCAAGCAAGTAGATTTATCAAAGGTCTGAGGACGCCTCTGTCAGTACAGTCTGAAGTCTGTGCTGTAATCTGTCAGCGGGCCAAGAGCAAAGCTAGCCGAAGGCCTCCTGCACCTGAGAATAAGACAGCCAGAGTTTCAGCTGGATTTGTGAGGATGGGAGATTTAGGACAATCATTGTGCTCTTTACTGCTGTTGTTGTTCCTGCAATTTTAGCAACCAAACTTCTAACTGGCAGAGTGATTTTTATGATTGTTGCCTCAAAATGGAACCAGAAGTCTGAGAGAAACACAGTTGTGTGAAAAAGCAGTCCTCCCTTCAGGAGTTTGTCTATTTATTTTGTGTTTTGTTATTTCATTGATCACTGTCAGGCCTGAAGAATTAAAGCTGCAATGGTAAATCTGCAAAACAACTTCACTTCAAACAGTTTGCATGCCTATTAGCAACGTTCTAACATGGCATAGCTATACTTTTTTTGTGGACATAAAACATTGATGAAATGGTTTGCGGTTCAGACCAAAATCAACGACTGGACCATCTGGATGTCGTTCTCACCGGACCACTGCACTTTCGCACTTTCCTGGGTCCTCCACTCGTTATGCACTTGTGCATTTAGAACACCACTGGTGTGAGAGGTTCTCCACTCGTTATTATCAGAAGAAAAAAAAACAGTACGCTGCTAATACTTCAGCTTTAGGAGAAACTAACAGAGTCCAATAAAGGAAATTATCATTTGAATTCAACTAATTCCCTAACCCTAACCCACCATTTGAATTCAACAAAAGATGCATTGACCTAGAAAATGGTGACTGGTGTTTAGTGCTCTCTCATTTCCTCTGGCAATGCGTGTTTCGGTGTCAGGCAGATGGGGCCTATATGAATGCTGACGGGAGGGCTGAGTGTTTAAGGCCTAGCTTGTTTTGTAGGCTAAACTATCTCAAAAAGCAACACGTCACATTCTAAAGATGTTTAGGAACAAAAGAAACTGAAACAACATCTAAAACTCTGCAGGCCTCAGTAGGTTAACAATAAGTGGTGATTAAAAAAGGGACAGGGCAAAAGCACATTCAAGGGAGGGCTCCAACGCCAAAACATTTGTTGACCAAAAGCAACACAAAGGTCTGTCTCACATTTGTCAAAACCTTCTTGGTGATCCTTAAGACCTATGGGAAATTATTCTATGGCCTGATGAGACAAAGGTGGAATTTACTGTGAGGTGTGTTCCCATTACATCTAGAGGAAAGCCAACACTGCATTTCAAAGAAATCCATAAGCTACCAACAGTCAAACACAACTTACTCTAACTGACCAAAACATGAAAATATCTGACACTTGTCCATAAAGATGGCTACGTAAAAACAGTTTTGCAAAAAAGAGAAGGACAACCTCCCTCAGCAGTGATGTGGGTTGCAGACGGTTATTGAGTTTATTGACTAAGTAGTTTGAATGATTTTTTTTCTTCCTGAAAAAGGGAATAAATGTTTGAAAACTGCATTCTGTATTTTCTTTGCCTGATCCTGACGTGAGTCATTCTCTGTGGAAAAAAAAAGCTCTGGCGCTCCTGTTTCAGGAACTGAAAGTTAGTCAGAGAAGTGGTGGGAAGAAACGGATGACTCTACCACTGTTTTCTTTGCAACGTTGATGTTTTCTTCACAAATACCACAAGCCTGAAGAAATTCTGCCATGTTGCAGATTTTCTAATGGTAACAGCCGAGACCTTCTCCGATCTCTCCTGGACGCTAAAGCAACAGCCTTCCCCATAAAGAGCCAAGATGGGGGAGTCCACGAATGTTAATTTTCAGTGTGACGTAGACCTTACTGACTTTTCTAATCCAACCGTTTTCCCATCTATTTTCTGTCGGCGGCTAATGCAGGAAACAGGGCTAGAAGACTAGTTTCACTTTCAGCCTGCATGCAAAACTAGCAAGTTAAAAACTGTTTCTCGGCGAACGTCACCTTTAAGTGTGGCAAAAGACAAGAATTATCCTTTGCATAGAAAATACCAGTGCAGCTTAATAATGTTTCACAGTAGTTTTCAATTAATGACACAAAGGCTCATTCAGCGTTCAAGCTTCCATAGTGTTTCTAGCTCTGACAGTGAATTTTATCTCTACAGAGTTGGAAGACATTTCGGTTCATAATTTAGCTAATATTTAAACGCTGAATTCCTCGGCTGTGAGAAGTAACATGACAATCCAAACAAACAGAAAAGAAGTAACACATAAACAGTATCTGGTTCCAACAACAAACACTCATCTTTCTGTTTAGTAACCACCAGTTTCCATCAGCAAAGGAATGCAGAACTAATGACCAATCATCCCAATTTAATGGAGGTGTGTGTGTGCGTGTGTGAGACAGCTTGCGCTGCACACTGACTGTACCTCTTTTAGCAGCTTTCTGTCCAGCTCCAGGGAAAAAGCCCCCGGCGCCTCCTCCAAACCCTCCATAACCACCTGAGGGGCAAAAACAGAAGATTTAAAGAAGGTGATACAACGGCACAAAGCCGACGTTCAAACACTCACCTAGAGTTCCCAGATTTCCATAACCTGGATTTAAAAGAAATAATCAGAAAAGAGGAGGCAAAGTTACTCAACAAGCTATTTTTCAAGAATAATAAGCGATCAATCTTTCATCACAGCACTTTCCAGAAATACAGCATGTTGTTCGCTTAAAATGTATTTCGTCGCATAAAACACAATAACGTCTGTTATAAATCCAACCCTTTCATATATGTCTACAGACAAAGACTATCAGGGGGCTACAGCTGACTTTTCCTACTACAGGACTCAACAACAATAACCTAAAAATGTTTTTTTTTTCTGTCCGGTTATGCTGAGATTTAAACACTGGAGGGAGCAGTTTATCCTGAGAATAAAGAAATCCACTAATCTCTGGGCGTCATAAAGCTCTGGCTTTGATTGAAGCATAAATGAAGTAATTTCCCTGCTTGGGGTTCAGCTTGATGACAAGATTAAAACACGTGAGATGAAAGGATGGAGCTGGGATCAGTGAGGAATGGCCGAGAAGAACATGGATATAAAACGCTCACCAGCTTCTTCTTCACTGAAAGACACTGTAATAGAAGATCTTTAAATGCGTCAAAGTTCAGGATAACTGTAGAAAATAATAAACCAAATTGAGTTTTGGTGTGTGTTTATGAGGCTTGAAACGAGAATATTCACAGATGTCACAGGAACCTTAAAACCTGAGAGACTGTCTGAGCACCACATGTCAAAGATGTCAAAGCTTTTATAAAAGAGGGAAAACTGTGATAAAATTGTCAGAGGGGGAAAAAAATCAAGACTAGTTCTTTTAAACGCGCTTCCAGAAAACTGCCAGAATGATAAATCGCTACTTTATGTGAATAGAAGTTTGAGCAGAATCGGCTTCAGAACTTCGCTCATTGTTGGACTCTAAAACCTGTAAGAACAAGTTTCTCCATTTGAGAAAACAGGTTGAAGTCATGACTGTTTCTGAAACCCTGAAGAAATCTTATATGCTGCCAGGAAGCTTGTCCACCAAGGAATTTACTTTAATCAATAAAAAGAGAAAAAAAAACATGGAATGAGAGCAGCTGTGCATGGGAAACAAGTTAAACAAGACAGACAAAGAAGGATCAGGATGCCGTCAGTCCAGGAAACCGCAGGGTGCAGGTAATGATGCTTTTACTGATGATCAGGAGCATTGTGCAAGGCAAGACGGGGAGAAAGATCAAGTGTGGAGTTTCACGGCCTTGTCACAGGCCTTGCCAAAGCGTGCTCCGCAAGCCCAGACGATGAGTTCTGCATCCTTGAGATGATCCATCTCCTTCAGCTCGATTCCCTTTGATTGCTCAAACATCTCCAGACACACCCTGATGTAATAACAAGTGTAATCTTTTGTTATATAAATCAGTCTGAAAGAGTTTTCCTGTTTCCTGTCTTTCTCCAGCTGACACCAGGACTCAGTCTAGTTTCTCTTATTCTTATCAGTGAGCACCACATAATTTCAAATTCTTTGGGCAAGAGCTAGAAGAACGTTCCTGTAGGAGAAGCATGGAGCATTTCTGATGACCCTTGGCTTTTTGGTAACAGGATTTCTCACAGGGCAGTTAGAGAGCTGGAGACAGGAAGCTTGTCAGCGTGACTTTTGGAAACACTGCACAGCGCTCAGTCAAGACGGGCAGCTTTTTGGAGACGGTTAGCTTATTCATCCATCATCTGGCCCACCTTTGCTCATACGTGCCTCTGCCCCGGTTATAACAGCCATGCTCAGGGTCACCCAACACCTGCCTCTCAGGAGACAAAAAGCAGAAACACACGAGTCAGTGTGCAAGGGTGTTCAAGAACGTGTGAGTGGCCATTAGCGCAGGTTGAAGGCACATGCAATGTTTGCACAAGAAAAATGCTGTGTTTGTTGTTGTTCTGACATCACCTAAGTGTGTGAAACATGCAATGCTGGGGGGTTGTCAGAGGGGGAAATCAGAAATTTTGGTCTGGTTTGGCATCTAGTCACTGATTAAATGTTCAGGAGATATTTAGTCCTACTTTCACCAACATGTTAGCTAAAACAAGCTAGCTTTTGTAGGATAAAGGGTTAGGGTTAGGGTTAAGCTTGGTTTATGCTTGACGCATTCACTTTCCGCTTTGTGATGCGGCTCGCGTATGGAACGCGCTTCACAACTTGCAGCGTTTATGGTTCATGCGGCTTGTCTCTGCGGTGAGCCAATATTCTCCCAAACTGTAGGGGGCAGCATGGAGCTCTACGGCATGCATCCAACACTACACCATAGTAGAAGTAGAAATGACTGTTGTTTACAACATGGCATTCCAGCATTTTTTAACAGCGTCCTCGTCTTTTCCGACAGTGCAAGCTATTTCTCTCCAAGAATTATTGACAACATGTTGATCACAGTGGTCTCTGAGAGCTGAATCATACAAATGTCTGTATTTACGAACCTCTGCCATACTAGTTCTTGCCGGTCCGCCATGTTTTTCCGCGTCCGACCGTCCGCGTGGTTAGAAATTTTCCTAGGTGCGCGATGCGGAAATTTTGGGCCGTACGGAGGCGCGGTGGAGGGGCGTGGCTGTTAAAATGATGCAATTTCACCGCACGGACCTTGCGGACGCGTCAAGCAAAAACCAACCTTAATTAGGAGGATGGACATTGGACATTGGAGGATGCCATCTCACAGACTGATATACCATGAAGCTCAGATGATTGAACTCATACGACAGAGTGATTTGTTGTCACGATCTTCACGTGTGCAACATCTGAAGCGTTTAGCTGTTTGCTAGCTATAGCCGAAAGATTTCAGTGCTTCAATATTGTGTCTAATTTCCTCCATGACCCCACACAATAAGAAACTCGAGGGACCACTTGAAAAACAAAGCACGTTTGGACCTTGGGCAAAGGAATCCTAGAAAAGATGAATGTGGTAGATGAAGGGGACAGAAACCTAATACTACACAGGAGGTGAGGGCTGGAGGCCAAGGAAAGTGGAAGGTAAATGATGCAGTATGGTAATGCATCATACTTTCCTCCGTTTAGATTTCTTAAACTAAAAAGAAACAAAAACACAAATTGTTTGCCAGTTTCCAGTCAGAAAGGAACACTGAAGAAAGAAAGTAGTGGCATGTGCACAAGAAAGTTGGTGAGTAAAAAAAACTGGGATGTTGTTGTGTAAACATCTCACATTCGAGACTAGAGCAACTGATCTCCTCTGTGCCCAAAATCCTACAACAGAAGTATTGCAACACAGTGTTTAACATGCCTCTGAAATGTGTTCAGATTTCCCAGTTTGGTTTGTTCTGGTTGTGCTGGTTTTAAATAAACATTTAACATATAGGGAAGGGCTTCACGTTGAAACCGAGCTTTGCTCAATAGTTGATTCATTTATTGTGGCTTGTTTAAGAATGATCTCAGCAAGAGGACAGAAGACAAGCTGAGTCTCTTACAAACCAGGAGTCTGTTTTTAAAGTAAAGGACATGCACTCAAATTCAGTGGACAAACTTTTTAAAAGTTACGTAGTAAAACAGCCCAGACACCACCTGGTTCTCCCTGTCATGTTCTCAAAACTGGAGTCTAGTACAAGTGATGGACGGGAGCCAGTGTGAACAGAAAGATCTGGTTTCAATCTCTGCACTCAAACTTTTTGCTCATTCTCCATTGGGGTTAGGTAAGGTAATTCTGTTTTAGGACCAGTGGAATACTAGGATCATTAATCAAAACAATGTCCTCGGCTCTCGGGCTCTTCTTACTGCTGCTCGCCCTGTTCCACTACCTTTTTCTCGTTTCCCCCAACTCTTTCCTCCCCACTTGGTGTCTGAGGGGGTTATGCCGACCAGACATGAGGTGTTAATAGCTGCAACCAGAGGAAGCCAAACGTGTGAAGAGAAAGAAGCATTTGCTCGCTGATCCATCTCCATCTTCCCTCTCTCCCTTCGTGATGCTTTGAGAACCAGCTGGCTCTGGTGAAGGGTTTAATTTAAGAGAGCAAAGAATTTCATGGCAGAGGTCCACCGTAACTGACAGCAGACGCGAGGAAAGCAGACTTCGGAGCTCTGAAATGTCCAGGAATTTTAGAGGGACTTGTTTCTTGTGGTATCATCAGTATCAGCATTATAGGAACAGCTTTTTCCTGAAACACCAAGTCGGTTGGGTTTAGCTAAGGAGTGCAGACCAGTGCTGGCATGAACGGTGACAGAAGAACGACAGTGACAAACATGTAGAAATACAGGGTAGCTGTAAGAAGAACACAGGCGTGCTCTGGCAGCTCAAACGCTGCAATTTCACATGAAGTGATGGAATATCTTAACCCTCTGATGCATGAATTATGAAATCTTCAACCAAGATTATTTAAACAATTTTTTTCATTCATCTTTAAGTGTGAATGAAACAAATTTCAGCAAATATTTTTGTAACATTTTGTTAATTTACAAATAATTTATTACATGTCTACCTCAGTGGACAGTGTGCATTCTGAACATGAAATATGTTGGCTTGACTTACTGAAATCCAAATGGAGGGGCTCAAATGCAATAAAGTCTTCAACAGCTGTGCTTAATAGCAAAAATAAAGAAATAACAATTTTGAGTACCTGTCCACTGTAGTGACCATTATGCATCAAAGGGTTAATGAAGATGAACCTCATCTTCAAAAGACCTCCCGAGAGTCCCTAGAGAATCAACATTTTCGCTGTGACTGACGGGCAGAATCTGTTCTTCAGCTGTGATCCGGCGTAAATGTTCCCTCCAAAAGCTAGACCCGTCATTATGTTCGTCAGTGTTATGACACCAAATTTTTATCGCCATCAAATGATCACACTGGTTCTTTTCCAAGTGGTGGATAGATTGCATTCTTACAAGGTGACGCAGGAAGTGATGGATGAAAGCAGGATGATGTGAGGTGCTGTAGTGATTCCAGATTGCGTGAGACAAGTGGACACGCTGATGCTCCCCTTGCTTCCTCTCCCCCTCACTTTCTCGTGACCTCCCCTGATCCTTGTCACTTCAAGGTTTAGCGTGCCGTCAGTCATGGGCATCGAGCTGCGAGCAGCAGGTCTGT